GTGCTCAGATTAGAGTAAAAGTAGGTACACACTCCATAGACAGAATGTGGGCCGTCTCCGAAGAGGGAGAGAGGGACTGCCGCGAGGTCCTGTGTTGCTGGTTTTTATGCGCTTGGTGGCTTCATATGCTATTAAGTGGAAGGACCAGTCTAAGAAGTCTGGGGAAAGGTCTGGGATTCCCAGGAAGTTGGCCATTTCCCACTCTTTGACCTTTTGTGGCTAGCCTTGGGACTGCCATGGTACATGTGGGCGTGTTATTCACCATGTTAATACATTACAATGGGCATATAATGAAGCTCAAGATCTACTAGAAGTTAAATCTCTCATCATCCTGAGCCTCACGGCCTACTGGAGGTTGAATCTTTCACCATTTTGATGTTAACTGCTGTAGCATTCCTTGCATGGCTGTGCCCTGCCCTCTTCCATCCTGTCTCAAAGGCAGGACATTATGTAGATCAAGGAAGGAGTAGTAGACAAGAAAACTGTGTATATTAAAGAGTCTATTTAGGTCTTGAGAGGATTTCAGGAAAAAGTAAGAGGTTTCTCTGATAAAGGGTTTTGCAAATCAGGTTTCAAGCTATAAACAGACAAGAATATGCTAGAGGGAACCTCAGGGAAGAGGGTGTGGTAAGATAAAGAGAGGAAGAGACCAGGAAGGACAAAGGATTCCACCTCTTCAGATTTTTTTAATTGGTCTTAATAGCACATGGAGGCATAGATGCTGATGGAAACTTTAAGGATGGAAACAGGGGTGGTGATTGTGCTGAGGTGGGACCAAGGAAGAAGGGAAATTGTGCTTCTATATCTCATATTTAAGGTTCTGACTTGGTAAAAGGCCAGTATATGTGGAAGTGTAAAGACACTATGAAATGGAAGGAAAAGATCCGAGAAGTTAAGTTCATGGAGTGGAATAGGGCTACTAGTGTTTTGGATTAGTGTATATGCCTGTTTCTGTTGTGTTTATCTGTGAGTATATATGTGTTTTGGGGACAGGAGAAATGAGAATTGGAAAAGGTACTATTTACTAGTAAGTAAACTAATTTCAAATGAGGAAGAAGGAAAGAAAAGTAAAAGAGATGTAAAGATAACCTTCCAGTCAATTCCAAAGTTTTAACCAAAGCAAACAAAAAAATCAAGCGTCAAAGAAATAAATATATGACATATCAAACTGAAAGTATAACAATATTAAAAAGAATTGAACACAACACTTGGAACTAAGAATGTTAAGAACTGTCCACCAGACAAATGTGGATCAGTAAGCAACCCTCAGAACACTGGAAAGGCAAGTAATACCTCATTTATTCATGCAGTTAAGGAGGAAGGGAATTGTACAGAATTTAAAACATTACCAACATTTCTCTTAGAAAAGAATATCTCTCCTAATGTGAGAAACAAACACTAAATATTTACCCCAATTATTCAACACTTGGTGAGTCTACCCACCAGATAATGCCTTCAAGGTTAAGTACTCAGATTCCATTACTAAACAGGGCGGGGGGGGAGGGGGAAGG